ACACATTTGATATTATAAGTATTTATTTTATTCAAATAGTACAAGAGGTCGACTAGCCTAACGTTTGGACCCTTACTTTTTAGATTGAAAAAAAAAAGGGCACGAAAAACACAACTGATCTATGTACAACATAACAGGAAAGTATTCGTACTATGATCTACGAATGAGCTTACAACCGTTCCCCAAAATACACAGCAAACTGAAACAATGCTACAACGAATTTACGAATGCCTTGAACCCATCTCCCAAAATCACAACAAACAGAAACAATACTACAACGAGTTTACAAATGTAAGCCGGCCCGGCCCGCATAATCATCGTGAACGTGTACTACAATCGTATGTGTACCACATCACGTCAAACCGAACAGAGTATTACTACAATTATGTCAAACTCTCGAGATATTGACACGATTCATTTTTGCCTGAATGCAGCATAGAGAAACAAGAAATTCCACAACCACCAAACGGCACCACACGTTCAATAATATGCCGAAAAGCCAAACAGTATGGATGGTTATTTCGACTATACTTCTTCACTGCCATCTTGGTTGCCATTTTTCAGTATATTGAACTTGCAAAGAGGACAGGTGGCATTTATGTAGAGCCACTTGTCTATGCAGGCGGAATGAAAATGGTGGCCACAAGGGACCTCACGCAGTTCAGCTCCATCATCATAAGCACTCAGGCAAATGCAGCATTCCTAGAATATCCATATTTAGGAACATTTTAGATTTTAGAATAAACCCAATATTTATTTATTTTTTAAAAAAATACGAGACATAATCGCCACGAAGCCGTCTATTTGCTGAAATTACAATTGCATCTCCGCAGATGAACAATTACATTCACATTTAGCTTAATTGTTATTCTGAAATAACAAGTACCCCCTCGTGATTTAATGTAGATTACCGAAAGTCACAATAAGCATAGAAATGTTTATTTCTTGTACATTTTTTTTTAGCAAGTTTGTGTATCAAGTTTGATGTGCGCATTGGTGTATTTTTCTGGGCATGGGCCAACTCAGCGTACCAAAAAAAAATAAAAAAGAATGCCGGCATGGAAACGCACCAAAGATATCTCCAAAATTTTGAAGCAATGATTTTGTAGTATAAAACAAAGTCCAAAAAGATTGAAGGTAATGCGTTATATGAAAAATAGAACATGGTGCAGATAGACATACAGCATCCTCTTGAGGAAGAACATGCTCTGTGGGTGAGTTACTGTTGCATTCAGTCATTATTCCTCCATAAGAAACTTCAGTTTCACTGTTTTGCTTCTCGAGATCACTGATTTTCCGGAACTTGTATCTAGGTAGCCTCTCAATGTCTTCCTTAGTAGCTCCTTCCTGTAACACAACACATATCAATAAAAATAAAAAGAATGATAAATCAATTCTTACAGCAGAGACTAGATGTCATTTTCAAGTTTCTCAACATCTCTACTTAATGCTAAGAAAAGTTAGATTAAATTCTTCAGAGCCAAATATTTCTCCAAGAATATCAGATAGCTTCGTGCTGTGGAATAGTTGGATCAAATGCCAAAAATCCTTGCACGGGTTTCGAGAGTTGAAGGTGAGAATGGCAGGAACACTAAAATCTGGGATGATCCTTGGATACAAGGTACCAAGAACTTCAAGCCCTCCAAATTTGCTTCAACTGCTTATAATAATTACTCCATGTTCAAACCATACCTGATCAGCAACAGCATACAGGAGTGCAATGATACACGGTAGACAGCAGCAAACAGCAAGTCCAACAACACAAGCAACAGCGACACAGACGACCACAAAGAACACGTCGAATGCCAAAAATGTAATGCAAAGCCTGCAAAAAAATTGATTATATGTAACAGAAAGAGATCCAAACGTTAAAGGCTAAAGAAAGCACGCTGAATTTTCGACAGACCAGTAAAGCTGAGGTGATTCAGTAGTCAAGTTTTGGCCACCAGCCGACACCCAATAGAACCCGGTTACCCACCAAATGAACGAGAACATAGTATTTGCAGACTCCAGATGCTTAGCAAAGCTGTCGAAAATCATCAGTAGGTTATTACTAAGATTACTACTGTACTAGGTACATATGAATGATTGTGTCCTTTAATCAGAAATTATTCACATAACCAACATATCCACCCACTTGAATTTGGTAAAAATAATTTCGCGTCTGTTCTACAAAGCTCGAATCGGAGTTCAAGCACAGCAATTTCAGACTAAACTCAAGACCCACATTTCGAGAAAAGCAAATTTTCAATTGAATGTACCTAGCTTCATCATCACTTTGCCGGCGACCGAAAAAGTAACCGCCGGTATCGGATTCATCACTTCCCGAGCTCGAATCCGAGTAGCTCCGACTGTAAACGAACTGACCTCTCCCGCTCGCTTCTAAATCCCGCTGCGAGTTCCTCTTCTTATACTCCGAGCAAACGCACGCGACGTGGAGGACGCACTGCACCGCGTAGCCGACGATCCAGAGCCTCAGCGGCGCGGGCGGCGTCTCGTTCCGGCTCATGATCAGCACCGAGATCGATACCACGACGAAGGCGATGTTCCAGATAAGGTCCAGGAGCACTATCGGCTTGGAGTACGCCCAGTCGCTCTGCCGCTCCTCAATCTGCTCGGCGGCCGCCTCCCGGACGCGGACGGACGGCTCGCGCATGGCGCGGCTCCGGCTGCTGGCGCGCCGGAGGAACCGAGCGGCGCCTCGGAGGCTGGGGGGGCGCCGGAGGAAGCGTGGACGGAGGCGGGCGCGGGGCACGTGGTCCCCCAGCAACGGCGCCGTGGGGCCGTCGGAAGGCATCGGAGACTTGTTTGCCGGTGTGTTTTTTGGATGGGGTTTTTTGTTCTTTGGGAAATCGTGCGACTGTTTTTTTTTTTTTT